GATGCAGCGAGGTATACGCTCGTTCCACCTTCCCCCGGTCAGGAGAACTGGAGATGGAAGGAAGTTGAAAAGGATCCGTGGCACAACCGGCGGCAGCACCGAGCGTCGGCTTCGCCCTCCGGTTTAGACGGCGTGTGGAGGTTGTCGAAGAGGTTTCAACAGTGGCGGAAGACCTCTTTCAGGAGGAGCCGTAGTTTCGCAGAGGAAAATGACTTCGCGGGGCAAAGCGGTCCCAGGAAGTCGTCGGATCTGAACGTCAACAAACCCCTTCCACCGCTCCCAACCACGACACGAAGGACACCTGCCCCACGTCGATCAACGATGCGAAGTCCTTCACTGTTGAGGTCATCCATTCGAACACTCCAAGTTCCAGACTCTGAATGTGGCACGACCGCTTCTCCATCAAGCTCGCAGGTTTCACTCATTCCGAAAGAACTGCGTGCGGAGTGGGACAAATGGCAGTCCATTGAAGGTGACGATGACGCCTCATGTTGGCTCCTTGTAGATGATAGACATGCACGATGCCAGTCCATGGCATCAGAGTGGCGGTTCAAGTGATTCACCGAACGGAGATAATGATTGACGCGCCGCATTACGAACTACGAAACCTTGTCATTTACAGACAGAAACATTCTCAAAGAAAATAACACAGAAAAACACAGACCTACGAATAATATATGACACACTGTCCAGTGCGCTGGCTCTGCTCAATACATGCGTCATCTTATAAGATCCTCCCTGCCCAGATAGTCAACGAGTCCTTCTTTCTTCTCCGCAGACTTGGCCTTCGGGAAAGCGTGCCAGAACCGTAACGTCTCATCTCCAGCTCCTGTGACGATGGTCTCGCCGTCAGGTGACATGGCAAGATAGAGAACACGGCAAGTATGCCCGGCAAGAGTAGCAGTGGTGTCCATTGAAGGGTATCTCCAGATGCAAACCTTCGTTATCCAGGGCAGAGATCAGTCGATGCGTTTTCACTAACATCCTAGAAGACTCACCTGATGTTGAGCTTTTGTCGATGAGTATCCGTGGGTTGAAACAATTTCGTTGGTCGTTTTACTCCACGTAAGATTGCAAACCTGTCGCGAAAGTTAGATCGCCAGCCTAAAGATGGGGGCTAGCGAGCATACCTGGGACCCCGTGTCTAACCAATTCACCAAGACGCCGTTAGCGATGTTCCATGTTCGTATAGTCTTGTCCTGCGTCCCTCCGCCACTCGCCAGGAGGCCTGTCGCGTGCGGACTCCAAGCAATCGCCTTGACCGCTGCCTGATGTTCGTGGAACTTCCATAACGGCTGACAGTCATCGCCGCTGCTTCCAGGCTCCATCGTTGAAGGTGCTGTCGACGTTGACGCCGCCGAAGTCGTAGACGTGGTTCGTGATCTCCGCCCCGCACCTCTTCCCCCTCCACCAGTCCATGCGGCATCCCAGACCAGAAGCTTGTTATCGTTTCCACCACTAGCCAAATGGGTTCCTTCGGCGTTCCATTTTAGGCCACAAATCTCCTGGCGATGCCCGGTCAGACGTCGATAGCATTCTTCTGGTGCCCGAAGATCTCGATGGACAATTGTTCGATCTCGCGATCCCGACGTAAGGGTCGCTGTCGAATTACCGGTGGACTGGAAGCCAGAGTTGAGGGGTAGTGAAGCAGAAAGGGACCAAGCCAATGCCCCTACTCGACTGGAATGGTTTTCGTACGTTCGGACGACTCGAACGGCCTCCGTGTCGTAGATGTGGATTTTGCCCTGATGAGTCCCAACGGCAAGTGTCGCTCCCTATAAACGACGTCCAATGAGCTATCATTTTTCAAAAGTAAACGTTTTGGCGTACATTGCGCTCCCATGCTACACCGGAGACATTGTCTCCCTGGAGGTCGCAGAGTTTGATGACTTTGGACGTGTTCGCCGACCAAAGATAGACGCAAGATGCTAAGCCGACAGCGAGCACATTGGTGGAAGACCAATCGACCAAATTCAGGTAGAAATCGTCCTAAAATCGCAATACGTCAAAACAGAGAATAGGATTGGGGAGGACAAAATCCTACCATCAAGTCAGGAGCGTCTAACACCTTGAACGGTGTTTTGGCCACGGGTCGTATAGAGCGTCTTGATGACAAAAGGACGTCTTGGGTGCTCTCGCGTATTGGGGATGTGTTGTATACTTCGTGCCGTGGACTCTCCAACCCTCGTGACGCGTTTAGGGGAACACCTTCGTTGCCAAAGACCTGGCCTTGGCGACCACGACTGCTAGGGCTGTCGAAAGTTAATATTCGTTTCCGACTTGGTGTTTGTGGTGGGCGGTGAGGTGAGGATGCGGTATGATGAACTTGATGTTGATGTGGCGAGGACGTGCTGATGACGGCTGTCCCGCCATTCGCACTATTGAGTGACGAAGACGATGCAGAGTGGCGGACGGGAGAGCGGACGGGGGACGAGAGATAGGAATGTGACGCCGAGGAGGAAGACGCGGATGTGGCAGGGAATAATTCGTTTGACAACGCCTCGTTGAACGCATGATTTGCTTGGTCTGACACAAAGTCGTCATTGGAGAGAATTCGGGAGGAAATTGTAGTCTCGTTACCTGTTTGAGCGTCCATGTCGACGACCATTGTCCTTTTGGTCGACTTGGACGGTGTTGAAGGCCCAGCGAAAGCAGACCCCAGTCCTCCATTTGCTACTGGATCATCCAGGTCATATGCGGTGGATGATGCAGACGGTATGAACCTACAGAGGTGAAGAAGAGTCAGACATCGTAAAGGACGGGATCCGAGATGAGAGAGTATCAAGGGCGTCAGGTCTGTGCAGCAGAGACCGGATCTGGAGTAGACCCGTCCGGAACAGAAATGCCCTCTAAGGCAAGCACCTCAAGCCAGTGAAGCTCGGCTTAAGGTTGTCGTCGTGATGGCGCAGAGACTGATGGACCAAACCCCAGAAAAGCCCATTTTCGAGGGCGAAGCGCGAAACGCAAACATACCGGTCTGCAGTCGCGCTGTTGCCCGTGCGTTTCCGTTTTCTTGGACTTGACAGTGGTGTTGTGGTAGCAGAGAAGGCTGGGCCGAGTAGTGGTGGTGTCGGTGAAGCTCTAGAAGATGACGAGGCTCCAGAGGTAAGTGTTGCTGAATCGCTGTTGTTTGCGGACGGTGTGGCCGTTGCGTTGGAGGTTGGATTGGTGTCTGCTGCCGAAGCAAAGAGCCGACGTGCTGGACTTGGGAAAGTTACTGGATCAATGAATGGATTGTCGGGATCGTCTTTTGAAGAACCGAGCAGCGACCTCTGGGGTGTGTTGGGTTGAGCGCGTCGAAGACGGTGCTTGAATTGGCTGTTCATGTGGGAGGTCTTTGAAATCAAGTAGAGAAGACTGCAGGGTTGATAAAGTAGTGAGAAATGCGCGAAAGATTCGTCGGAGACGCGTTGGTAGGTGAATGGGCAGTCCTTGGGACAGCGTCGGGGTGGTTGGTGGTGGGAGGAGAGTTGTGGTCGAAATCCGAACTTGGACCGTTCCTCTTTGTCCCTCACATCGACCAAACATCCCTCTTCACTACCTACTCCGTCCACAATGCGAAAAACATCGAGGAACAATCTTGCGTGCAGAAATTGAGGCTTTGGCTTCGACGATTCCCAAACAGCTCGTAGCACAGATCCTGGTCATCTGCAGACGCACTTCGACGGACAGCGCTTACGTGCAAAACAAAACGCGTATCGGGTCTCAGGTTGCGACTCGTGCAGTCATCTCCTCTGTTATTGAATCGTTCCTCTCGTGTTGTGCATTCCCCATCTTAACCTTATACAGCTTCCACAAAAGTGAGATTCTCGCCCTCAATGGTCTGGGGACTTACGTCATACTTAGCTTGCTCAGACCACATGCCCAAAAAGGGAATTGCCCAGGGTTCAACCTCAAAAAGACAGGCTTTCCCGCAAGCTGGGTCGAACAACTGACTTCCCCATAACCTTGAAGTACAAGTGGGACGCGCTACCACTGCGCCATACGGGAGAGGCAACGCTCGTTTTCTGTTTTAAATACCTCGCAGGATGTCAAGGGTAATGCCGCTGAACTCCTCGGTTGGAGTCAAACTTCTCTGATGACATACTCTATACTATCTTTACACACTAGTTCTGGTAGCCCACGCGTAACGGAAGAGCTTATAAACCCTTGGCTCTTGGGTTTCGATCTCCCTCCGAGACCCCTGTTCAGTTTGGTCGGTAAGCATCGACTCGAGAACGAAGATCACGTCCCACGTACGACGATCCATCCTTTGACAACGCCTAGCTCATTTCCAGCTTGAATGAGCATCTTCTCGCTGATATCCAAGATACCCAAGGTGTTCGCTTGAGTCAGATTACCGATTGCCTTCTCGGGGCGCTCTCCGTCTTCACACCTCAGTAGCATCAGACTCTGTTGTTACAGAACGTAAGCTGAGAAGTACGCACCTTCTAGCCAAGGACCTAAAGGATTGTAACAGTCTCGCACGCCGAATCCTTCCCATTTCGGATCTCCGTTCAGCCAGTCAGACCAGGCGAGCAGAGCATCCGTGGCTCTTCCTTGATCCCTGCCATCGTATCGTCTTACAGTAACTCAACATTGATGAGTTCCCTACTTCACTCACCTGAACATGTCCCGCAACGCGCTAAATAAACAACCCAATGCAGACGGCTGATCCCCGTTGACGGCGGGAGTCGACGAGAGAAGCTGCTTCTGCTCATCGTAAGCGTACATACCAACGCTTGCGAGGAGCAACAGTCCACCAGGACGGAGGACTTCTGCCACATTGTCGAGGACGTCTTTGTAGCTCCGAATTCCATTATCGAGAGCACGAATATGGACTATGTCGTATTTCTACGTATCAAGTCGGGTTAGTTCGGATGAAGGAACGGACAACGAAAGACCGAGTTACGTGTCCCAAGTTCTTCAAGCCTTCACGAGAAGTAACATCTTGAACGTAAAACTTGCAGTTAGCTGGTGTATCGCTGGCTCCCATCATTCAGCCGGTCAGTTCGCATAGTAAGGTATGCAGTGAACCTACGCTGTCCCTGGCACCGGGTTCAAATCGATTCCAATGACTTGAGCTTGAGGGAACTTCTGTGCCATTTCTCGAGCCCTATTCGTGTATCAAGTAGATATCCTCGCGGCTTGGTTATGTTCCCTTACCAGACCCCGGACCCCGTCCCGACGTCAAGCACGTACGCCGACGTACCGTCATCCCGACCAACAAGGGCCTTTTCGACTAGTTCAGGGACAGCGTACAGTCCACCCAAGCTAAGCAGATGCATCTGATGGAGTCCATCTGGATGACTCGACGGAACTGGGATGGGAGGAGGTGCCGCTGTAGAAGCGGTTTTGCTGGACTGAAGCGCTGTCAGAACCACGAAGCATTTTACGCCTCTTTAGCCGTACCTCTGTAGATGCAACAGCTACTAGATAACTTAGACGAAATCTGTGACTAAGACGCTCAGGAGGTACCTTCGGAGGCCATCATGAAAGACACAATACAGCGACGTTGACGACCAGAGTGCAGATGTGTATATATGTCAGATGCGTGGCACGGTCAACTTCATTTCGATAAGATCAAAACTTCGAAAGATGTCTCGACTATCTGGATGTAATTTCGGCAAACAAAAGGCTATCTATCCCGATAAGACATCTCTCGCCACTCTTCTTCTGCAAACCTCGGTATGAACAAGTGGTGCAGCGCTCTCGGATCATCTCTTTCAGGTCCGCTTGAGCCTAACCTGCCGGGAAATCAGTCGTATAATCGGTTTGATCATAGAACGGTCGTCCGGACATCGCTTGAGATTCCCGCTCACTTTGCCGGCGGCTCACACATTATCGAAGTGCACAGGACCTCCAACGAATTTTATTCCACATCAGATCTCATCGCCGAGACGAACCTAAACATCAAGTATGTCTTCGGCGTCATGTTTCTGAGCTCCTCTTGGGATCCCTGTATCCAGGCGAAATGCCAAGGCTTCTCAGGCACGATATGTCTAATGCCGAACGACGCCAACGCACCTGCAACCAGCGTTGAATGATTGCTTTATCATGTCCACTTTGAATCAGTAGGTCCGCGGTGTAATCTAGTGCTATCATGATGTTTTTTCCAAAACACTCTCCGATCTCTTGCCAAGGCATGCCATCGGAATCTTCAAAACGATTTAACGAGGTCAGTGAAAAGCCGTGCCCCTTGATTATTTATCAGCATACCTGCTTTCCATGGTCCAACAGGAGCATAGACGTCTGTCACCGACACGTCCCGGTAAAGAGGGTTCGTTCGGAGCCAACCTTCCCATCGACGAAAGGCATCTACTTCCCGGCCTTGAAATCTATGATACAAATTGAGTTATAGTGTCAAACCGCCATCCTCCGCAGATATCACTTATGACATGATCTTACATTAAAAGAGTTTGGAATTTATGAAATAGTGAACCGAGAGCACTCCAGCGAGGGTCACTCTCTTCAACGCAGGGGAGCAACTCTCTGTCTTCTCCATAAAGCCACATCCCAACGCTTCCGAGTAACAGAATACCGCCGGGACGAAGAAGTCGAGCAAAATTTGTCAAAGACTGTTGCTGATCCCGCAAGCCGTTTTCGACAGCTCGAACGTGTACCACGTCAAAGCTCTTCGCTTCGTGTCAGTAAGCGGGCAAAGCGGGTGCATTTCGATTTGGTGTACCTTCGCCAGATCATCGAGACCCTTGCTTGCATCTCGAACTTCAAATTCGCAGTTTGGAGGTTTGTCTCTGATTCGCCATTTATGATTTTTAGCGACTCAAAGGGATAATCCACTTGACGTACGGAGAGATTTTGACGGGGTTCAAATCGATACCTAGCACTTTTGCGTTGGGGAACTCCCTGGCTATATCCTCAGCCCTAAGGAATGCAGACTTAAAAGAGACTCAATTTTACTCTCGTTTATGGTGCTCACCAGTTTCCCGCACCTGTCCCAACGTCCAAGATGGCGGGCCCGCTCCCATCCCCGCGCACCTTTAGGGCATTTCTAACCTTGTCTGCCGGGGTGTAGAGTCCATTGAGAGCCAGAGTCAACCCTCGATGTCTAGCATCTAATCGACTACGCTCCGTAGTATTGGAAGCAACGGGGAGACTGTACGTCGCTTGGAGATTCGATTCGGCGCGATCTAGTGAGAAACAGATGAGTAACTGGGTCTACACAGCCCATTACACAAGACGTACGACTGACCCGTGGTTGTCATTTTATGGAGGATTTAGTATCGACGAGCCTTTTAACAACGTTCAACTTATATATGTCGGTAACTCTCAGAAGCAAGGGCGGTTGCGTCTCACTACACTCGGTCACCTAAAGATTGAAAGCCGATATGAAGTATCGGGACAGTCCGCAGATAATCAGTGTTGATTGTGATTTTACAGACACGAGCAAGTGCTTTCAGAGGAGGAACAGGGTAATAGTATCGGCGATTCCAATGAAATAATTTATTGATAGAGATCAACCGTGAAATGAACACCACCCACTCCCTTTCCATCGCTCTAGCTGTCACAATCATAGTCCAGAATCCCGCCTCAGCTCTCGAATTTCCTCTCGCAAGCCACCGATGGTTTGCATAAGCTGTTCGAGCTGCGCACTCAGTACCTGCATCGAAGGTCGGTCAGTCTCCCTACCATTGTGACGCCACGGGGGGAAAAAATCAAAAGGCTTTCTAACCTGCTGATTTTCTGCCAACTTGAGATTCGTGATACCCGTCCTGTCGATCGACGCGTCGCTAGCCGCTCTCCGTCTCCGGTGTATGCCAGTCATGGGTGAAAAGACGCCGATCGGTCCCAAGTCCGGCGTTTCGTCGAACTGGCCACTTGGCCCCGTTCGCGAGGTTCGTGACAAGCTACTGCGCGGTGGACGGCGTGGAGGATACGTAGTTGTGGGTCGAGATTCCTGTGGGCTGTTGTCGGACGAAAAGATTACATGTCGATCCTGTCCGTCTGACTGGGCGTTTCTCTCTGGTGGAGAGCTTTGGATTGGCTCTGCAGAGGTTACCAAGCCCGTTTCTTGATCATCTTCCCCTCCTGGCTCTCTCGCGGTTTGTCCGCGATTAGGCACGCGAAGCATCTAGAATAGAAGCCAGCTTAGTTGTCAGAAGAAGCCTATGAGTTGTACCTCGAACTTGCCTTCGTGCCACCCATCGTCTCCCACACGATTGAGAACTCACGACCAAGGACAA